CCCCAAAACCCCAAAACCCCAAAACCCCAAAACCCCTTTAGGTTAAAAGATATTGAAAGATCAGTTTATTTAAAGATTGGAACATTAAGACAATCCTCCCAATTGATAGCATCGAATACTCTTTCATTCTTGTCAATTTTATTTATCTTGTCAATATCGTCTGGGTTCATCACATAATCCAAGGCCTCAAGGTTTTCGATTGCTCTCTCAATGCTAGTAGATCATTTTACGACAAGCCCAACTTTCCTTGATAGATTCCAACTGAGGCATACTTGAGCAGCAGTTTTAGCATCTTTTTCAGCAATTTCTTTGATGATAGGATCTTCAAGTACGGTGACGACTCCTCCACCGCCAAACGGTCTGCTAGGGTTGCTCAAAGGTGAATACCCAACAACTTGGATATCATTCTGCTGGCAAAATGATATTAACTCAGGCTGTTGGCAATATGGATGCAGCTCTATCTGGTTGCACGCAGGTTTGATCTCACAATAACTCAGCATGTCCAACAGTAATTGACAGTTAAAGTTAGAAACTCCGATATGTTTAGCTAGGCCTTGCTCCACACACTGCTCCATTCCTTGCCAGATCTTGTACATCGGAATTTTCTTGAAGGAAGGTTTATCACCTTCCTTGTCAACATCATTCATTGGCCAATGAACTAGGACAAGATCAACATAGTCTTGGTTTAGCCTACTCAAGCTTTGCTTGAGTGATTCAACTGGGTCTGCGTATCCAGTGCTCCAAATCTTGGTTGTGAGGAACAACTCGTCTCTGGAGATGCCTTGCTCTACAGCTTCGTTGATGGCTTGGCCAACAATATCTTCATTTTCGTAGTCCTGGGCAGTATCAATGTGCCTGTATCCGTTCTGGATACAGTTCAAGATATGATCCTTGTCAGTTAGCATCAGAGTCCCAAGCCCCAAGGAAGGCATCACCTTTCCTGTGTGTAGGACAATCGAGGATTCTAGTGAATTCATTTTTAAATAGAATAATTATCAATTTTAAGAGCATTTGAGGGGTTTTGGGGTTTTGGGGTTTTGGGG